TAACACTAAAATGGCTTCCGCTACTCTATGAACCAATCATAAAACACTAGTCTGCAAAATCCATATATTATGTGAGAAGGGTCTTCAACACTAGAATGGCTTCCGTTACCCTATCACCAAATATCATGTGAGAAGAGTATGTAACACTAAAATGGCTTCCGCTACTCTATGAACTAATCATAAAACACTTGTCTGAAAACGCCATATCACGTGAGAACATTCTGTTGGATCTCACTCCTCAATCCGATTTTTCTCTGCGTTCTGCAGTTTTCCTCCCTCCGCAAAACCAAGACTAAATTCCGATTCAACCTACGGGTTAGCTGTGCCTTGACATTGATCACCCAAGAGGTTGTTTCAGTGCATCGTAAAATCGGAAGGTTGAGAAGTTGGCAGCATGAATACAAATGATGATACTCCCTCTGTGACTACGTGCCATACTTACAGCCATTAGTTTTTCTAGAGCTGGAACTTGAATTTTGAAATGTTGTTGTTGTTGTTGTTGCTGCTGTTGTTGTTGCTGCTGTTGTGGGTCTCTAGTCATCGTGGCTTTGCGAAATAAAATAGAGTTCAATATCAGTATAAAATGTTAAATAGTTATTTAATGAAGATAATAAGAAAACATCAGGATTGAAAGAAATACCAAAGATTTTATTGACAACCCTGTACACTGATTGGCTAATACGTTCGGGCTGAGGAAAGAGAACTCAGTTGGTTTTACCTGCATTGTGTTCTGCTGTTTCTCTTAACTGAGCCAGTATTTCCCGTAGACCAATCTCCAATTGTTTGTTCTCTCCTTTCAGCTCTTTATTCTCAGCTTCGATTCTCTTCACTTCAGTCTTGATTTTATCGGATTCTTTGTCCTTTTTCTCTATATCCTGCTCTAGTCTTTTGTTCTAAAATCCAATGCAGTATCCAGAATCAAACAACCATAATCATTAAAACCACCGATAATAGGACTTTTGCATCGAACGGTCACGTGCTGATACAGTAATGATGAAAAGGTAAATTATACACCCTGAAAAAGATGAAAAAACTTACTGACGTTTCGGACGCTAGTCCTTCGTCGGAGTAAAATGTGACTTTGATAACGAAACAAGGAAAAAATTATATTCAAAATCACTTATTTGTGAACAGGGTAGTGATATGGTTGCAGTATGTTTGTACCTGCACCTCTCTTTTCAGCAATTTTATATAATAAATTAGTCTTGAATTTACGTCAACTCATACCGAAAAGAAAATTTGACATACTAAAGTACAGCAATTATACTACTACACTGTTTACGTATAAGTGAATTTGTAAGAAACAAAATGTCCTTGATATACACTTTAATTGCAGTGAAAAGAATTTCATGTTGCAGGAGAGTTTGTTCTTGTTAAGTCATAACCACCATCTTGGTTGACGATAACAAAGCATTCCTCATTAGCTTCTCTCGTTAGGTCAACCAACATGGCGCGATTAGATCCAGTTAGCGAATATCACGGGACAAAATCGAGTTGATTTAATTAACGAATAACACGGGTCAAAATCGTCAAAACGGGTCAAACCTCCCTCCCCCCACCCCCGCTTTTGTCAGGAGGCTTGATATGCGCTTTAGTTATCTCTCGCGCTGGAAATTCGCGCAACATTGCAAAAGCAGACTTTGCTGCAAGGTTACCGCCAACATTGCACGCAATAGGATACTCGGTGCAATATCATCCTTTCGGTTTTCTTTTCTCTTACCTAAAAAGCGCGCATCATTTCTTTGAACACAAAATGAATTGCGCATTCAGTGCAGTATTATTTCTTAGCAGCTCTCTCTCGCACGTAAGATAAGCACAACATGGTAGAAGTAGCAATCGAGGCATGTCTTTGCACGTTGCTGATAATATTGGGCTCCTTCAAAGAGTGCAGTCTTCTTGTGCGCATTAGTATTGTCTCGTGTTGGTTCCTTTAGGTGATAAACGTGATGCCTTACCCTAGTTCTGGCCTCTTCTGTGTCTGAGTCATCAATTATTCTCTTCCTAAAMACTACACGTTCGGGTTCATCTTCAACATCTGCAAGATCTTCAGCGGTAATTCCAAGCTCTACGGCTCTGAAAGATTATTTTAAAAAACTAACCATTCGTACTTTTCTTTTGAAGTTTTAAATTCTGGTTTCTTAAACTTCTTTGTGGGGCATTCACGCATGCACGAATGGCGTCATCGCAGTGCTCAGTTTACCAATACTGCACAGTTCTCGACCAATCAGAGCGCTATATTAGTAAGGATTACCTTGCTCCTCTGTGCATGGCTTGTTTTCTAAGCTGTTTTTTTAACCTTAACCGTTCATCCTCAAGCCGCTCGATCTATACAAAGAAGAAGGGATATAGGAAATAGGTTATCCCCAGACAAAGTGAACCTATCCTTCTCTAGGTTTCCTCCCTCCCTCTGTGAGTTAGCCGTACCCTGACTTAGATCAGCCCAGAGGTTGTTTCAGGATTCAATCCGTGAGTTAGCC